ACCTTACATGGACCAACCCAACTTTGACCCCAAGCACCCAATATCATTCCCCGAAGCCCAGCAGTGATCTCTATATGTATGGGCAGTAGTAACCCCATAGCACAGCAGGTATGGATCCCAAACCAAAATATATGTGTATGGATATATGATTATATATACATATATAAGTGTGTATACATATATGTACGTATGCATGCATGTATCTGTTTATACGTACATACATACATATATAAATATATATACATATATATTGTTGAGCAGAGTCATACTACAGCAGGTTCAATGTCGTTGGCCCAGGTTCAATCCCCTGCACCACATATGGTCCCCAAGCCCCACCAGAAGGAAGCCCTGAGCTCAGAACCAGCAGTAAGCCTGAGCAATAATGAATGTGGCTCAAAAATACAAAGAAAAATTTAAAGTCATTCACTCTTTATACACCATAAAAGGTAGAATGTAAAGGCCCTCCCTTTGATCGTTGATTTGCTCGAGCGGGCCCAGTAACGTCTCCATTGGAGACTTTGTTGTTACTGTGTTTGGCATATCGAATACTCTCGGTAGCTCAAAAAATGTTTTCAAAGGGGTCTTCCAAACAGAGCCCAGGGATCATTCCCTGGATACTGGGTCAGACAACTCACTTGAAGGCCCCAAGGATGTGGTGATGCACTGGCACTACAGCTTGGGGAACCTCCAGTGCCACATGGAAGTGCGCTGGGGCCACCAAGGCCACACGGGTTGATGCTGTGAGCAGGACTTTAGTGCTGGGGGACACGACACCTACTTTAATAATCTGCAACCCTGGGGCTGGAGCGATAGCACAGCGAATACGGCGTTTGCCTTGCATGTGGCCGATCCTGGTTCAATTCCCAGCATGCCATATGGTCCCCTGAGCAACGCCAATGGTAATTCCAGAGTGCAGAGCCAGGAGTAACAATTTTTTAATTTTTGAAAGGCTCAGTTTCAATTATGTTGCAACATCCAACTATGCGAAAGGATCATTCCTAGAGGTATTCAGGGGACTATAAATGGCAAGTGGTAAAGTGGTATGCAACTAATTTTAGCCAAGTTCAAGGCCTTACCCGAATACTCTTGCGGGCCTTCAGAACCAAACTTTGTAGACAAAGGAGTTAGTTTCCAACACGAAAAATATATCTTAAAATATATTGTCAGCAGTTAAAGAGAGAGTATAGCAGATGCTTGCCTTACATGTAGCCACCCAACCTTGATCCACAGCACCCAATATGATTCCTCCAAACCCAGAGTGATCTCTGAATGTAGAGCCAGGAGTAACTCCAGACCACAGCAGGTGTGGCCCCAAAACCAAAATAAATGTTTTGATTATGATTGTATATGCATATATGTGTGTATACATATGTGTGTACGCATACAAATATATGTGTGTGTTTATATACATATGTACAAAGTTAACCAGAGTCATACTAGAGCAGGTAGAGAGTCTGTCTTCTGTGCAGCTTGCCCAGGTTCAATTCCCTGCACCACAGATGGTCCCCAAGCCCCACTAGAAAGAAGCCCTGAGCTCAGAACCAGGAGTAAGCCTGAGCATCACTGTGGCCCAAAATTAGAAAAAAATATTGAAGTCATCTGCTCTTTATCCACCATAGCTACCTTCAAAATCAAATGCTTGCAAGGGGTCCTTACAAACAGAGCCCAGGGACCATTTCGGGATATTGGGTCACACAACTCAGTGGAAGGGCCCAAGGATGTGGTGCTGCACTGACATTGCAGACTGTGCAACATCCTGTGCCACCTGGCAGTGCTCTGGAGCCACCAAGGCTACAACTGTTGATGCTATGAGAAGGGCTTTCAGTGCTGCGGGACATCAGACCTAGTTTAATAATCTACGCTCCTAACCCGCTATCTCCTTGCCCCCCAAAATCAGTTTGAATATGCAAATACTAACCCTACCTCACACACACTAAGGATTATAAAGAAAACTTTTAGGCATTTCACAAAAATAAATCCTTGTTCAAACATGTCCTACCGCTATAAATGCGTTTATTAGTATGACTTATGAGATTGTTCAAAGCAGCCAGGAATGTGTCCCATGCAAAGCAAGGAGAGGAAGAGGAAAGTTAAGAGGGGCAGGGGGAAGGAGAAGAGAGGAGTGTTGGGGTAGCAGAGGGGAAAGGAAAGAGGGGGAAGTGGTGGAAGAGATAAGGGGAAAGGGGGGAAGGGGAAAGGAAAGAGAAAGGTAAGGAAAAAGAAAAGAGGGAGGGCATGGGGAAGAGGAAAGGGGGAGAGGTGGGAGAGGTGGATGAAGGCAAAAAAAGAGGAAGGGGAGGGATAAGGGGAAAGGGAAGAAGTGGGGGGAAGAGAGGCATGAGAAAGGCAAGGGGGAGAGAGAAAATTGGGGAAATGGAGGGGAAAAGGAGGAGGGGAGAGAAGGAGAAGAGGAGAGGGAAAGAGGATGATGGGGGGAAGGGAAGAAGGAACAAGGGAGAGGATTATAAGAGAATGAGAAGGGTAAGAGGAAGACAACCCTCCATGACATTGAGGCTAATGGTATGTTCAAAGATGACACGCCACTGGCTGAGCAAGTGAAAACAGAGATAGATAAATGGGACTATCTTAAACTAAGAAGCTTCTGTACCTCCAAAGAAACAGTGACCAAAATACAAAGACAGCCTACAGAATGGGAAAGAATATTCGCCGAATACACATCTGACAAGGGATTGATATCAAGGATATACAAAATACTGGTTGAACTCCACAAGAAGAAAACATCCAACCCCATCAAAAAATGGGGCAATGAAATGAACAGAAACTTTCTCAAAGAAGAAATCCGAATGGCAAAAAAGCACATGAGAAAATGCTCTACATCATTAATCATCAGGGAGATGCAGATCAAAACCACAATGAGATACCATCTCACACGTCAGAGACTGGCCCACATTCAAAAGCACAAAAGCAACCGTTGCTGGCGCGGATGTGGCGAGAAAGGGACACTCCTTCACTGTTGGTGGGAATGTCCACTGGTTCAGCCCTTCTGGAAAACAGTATGGACGTTCCTCAAAAAATTAGAAATTGAGCTCCCATTTGACCCAGCGATACCACTCCTGGGAATATATCCCAGAGAGGCAAAAAAGTGTAGCCGAAGTGACATCTGCACTTGTTTGTTCATTGCAGCACTCTTTACAGTAGCCAGAAACTGGAAGAGACCTGAGTGCCCAAGAACAGATGACTGGTTAAAGAAACTTTGGTACATCTACACAATGGAGTACTATGTGGCTCTTAGAAAAGATGAAGTCATGAACTTTACATACAAGTGGTACAATATGGAAAGTATCATGCTAAGCGAAATGAGTCAGAAAGAGAGGGATAGACATAGAAAGATAGCATTCATCTGGGGGATATAAAATAATAAAATATGAAATTAATACCCAAGAATAGCTGAGAGCAACACCAGGAGAATTACTCCATAACTTAGAGGCCAGCTGGGTATACTAGGGGAAAGGACAATTCAGATAGAAAGGGGAACACCAAGTGGAGGGTGTTTGGAGGATCCTCCCAGGAGGGGAGATGCAGGTTGAAAGTAGACTGGACTGAACATGTTCGCCACTCAATGCCTCTCTGGCTGATCACAGCGCCCAGGAGGAGAGAGAGAAGAGGGGGGAATGCCCTGCCACAGTGGCAGGGGGGGATGGGGGGATGGGAGGATGGGGGGGGAGGGATATTATCCTGGTGGTGGAAAATGGGCACTGGTGGAGGGATGGGTATTTGATCGGGGTATGACCGAGATCCAAGCACAAAAATTTGTAAATCTACAACTGTACCTCATGTCGTTTCACTAATAAAAAAGAAAAAAAGAAAAAGAGAAAGGTTAATCATGGTAATTATATTCATTTTCATAACTCACAATAAATGCATTGTTTCTAAAATCATTATATAGATAATGACATAAGCATATATCTTTGAAATACAAAGCTAAATCTAAAAGCTACCTTTGTTATATCTCCAGAACCCAATTAAGGAGGATATTTGTGTCAGGATGCCATTGTTATTCACTGAAATTCTTTAATAAAATATGACTTAAAATTAAAAAAAAAAAAGAGGAAGAAAGGGACTGGAGCGATAGAACACTGGGTAAGGCGTTTGCCTTTCACGTGGCCAACCCGGGTTTGATTCCCAGCATCCTATATGGCCCCAGGAGTAATCCCAGAGCGCATAAGCCAGGAGTAACCCCTGTGCAATGCCGGATGTGACCCAAAAAGTAAAAAAATTAAAAATAAAACTGTACAACATTAAAAATTAGAGGAGGACAGAGGATGGGGAGAGCAAGGGGAGTGGGAAGGAGAGGGCAAGGGGAAGGGGAGAAGAGAGCAAGGAGAGATGTTAGAGGAGGACAGGGAAAAGCGAAGTAGACATGAAGGGGAGGGGGGGAAGACGGTAGAGGGGATTGAGAAAGGAAATGGGGAGGATGAAGAGAAAGAGGGAATGGGTGGGGGTGGGAAACGGGAGGGAAAAAATGAAAACCTGGAAAAAGAACAGAAATAAGGGTGCCGGAGAAATAGTACCGTGGGTATGGCACTTGCCGTGACCGTCGCCAATGTCGGGTTCCCATCTCTGGCATACCATATATTTCCCAGACACCACCAGTCGTGATGCCGGTGCACTGAGCCAGGAGAAACCCAGGAGCACCGCCTGGTGTGGCCTTCCAAATAAGAAGCAGAAATACATGCCAGCAGGGCTGGAGCGCTCGTGTAGCGGGTAGGGCAATCGTTTTGCACGAGGCTGACCCAGGTTCGATCCCTGGCACCATCCCTGAACCATCCCATAGGTTCTGTGAGCACCGCCAGAAGGAACTGCTGAATGCAGAGCCCCGAGTGACGCCGGACCATCGCTGGGTGTCACCTAAACGGGGTGGGTGGGGGCGAGAGCCAGGGAGAGGAGAGGAATAACGGGAGAAGAGAGGCGGAAGGCTGAAACCCTCCCTGGAAAGACAGGCGGGGGGGGAACCCGAGGCGCACCGCGGCAGAACTCACCCAAGAAGATCCAGGCGCTGCTGTCCTTGTACTCGGAGAGCCAGGACACCTTCTCCGCCACCCCCAGCTGGACCCCTCGCTCGTTGAGCTCGTTGATTAACTTCACTTTCGTCAACGGGCTGCGGAAGTTGCCGCAGAGTAAAGAAACGGCCCGGCGACCGAGAGCACCGAACTAGGCCTCCCCTGGAAGAGTTTCGGCGCCTTCCAGGCTTCGCGACTCCAGCGCCCTCGGACGCTTCGCCCCCGCCCCTTCCCTCAGCTCCTCCCGCCCCGCATCCCAATCCTCCAGCCCCGAACTCCCACACTCCACGGAGGACAGCCGGAGCCTTACTTCATCTTCCACCGGTTCCCGCTTCAAGATGCGGATGTAACGACCTCTGGAAAAAGCCGTTTAACGGTCGCCCGGCTTCAGCGCGCAATCCCACTGGACTAGAGCTCCCCCGGAGGAGATCATTCAAACCGGAAGAGATTAGGCACGTCGGGACGTAACAAGGGGGACGCATGCGCACTAGAACCGGCACGTGTCTCCTCCCGACATTTTTTCCCCCTCCATTTCCCGCTCCCATTCCCTCTTTCTCTTCACCCTCCCCATTTACTTTCTCAGTCCCCTCTCCCCTCTTCTCCCTCTCCACTTCATGTCCACTTCCCTTTCCCTTTCCTTTTCTTTTTTTTAAATGTTGTAGATTTTCATTTATTTTTAGCTTTTATTTTTTTTTTTAACTTTTTGGGTCACACCAAGCATTGCACAGCGATTACTCCTGGCTTATGCACTCAGGAATTACGCCTGGGGCCATATAGGCAGATACCATTTCTATTGTTTTGGGGACATTTGTGGTCCTCTTCCTTTTTTTTTTCTTATATCTCTCTGAATTTTCAATTCTTTTCAGTTGATCTGAGAGTTTAATTTATTCCAGTCCCACATGATTTTAATTACTACAGATTTGTAGTAGAGTTTGAGGTTAGAATGCGATGCTTCCCATGTTCTTCCACTAGGGTTGCTTTGACTACTTTGGGGGAGTTTTCCAAATGAATTTCATGGATGTTTAACTCTTACATGTTTTGGGATTGCATTAAATTGTATAGTGCTTTGGGGAGTATTGCCATTTTGACAGTATTCGTCGTCCTGGTTTATAAGCAATGAATGTGTTTTGTAAACCTGGTATCCTTCATTTAAATAATGTTTTGTAGCTTTCCTTGTATTGGGCATTCACCTCTTTTTGTTAAGCTAGTAGGTAATTGGATTATTTTTTTCAATATCTCCCTCTTTTATTTCATTATTTATTTATACAAAAGTCGTGGGTTTTTTGACTGCCACTTTACAAGCACACCCTCAGAATTTCCTCTCAAGCACTTATCTGTGTTTATATACCTGACTATTAGTGGTTGAATCTCTAAGGCTGTCATCTTTCCTTGGTGTGGCAGGGATCTGGTCTATTTCCCCATTTTGAGTTTTGCTCCTTGAGAGTGCGTCTTTCAATTCACTTTTGTGCCATCCCCACTGCCACCCACACTGCCTGTGAGGTCTGATGGAACCAGCTGTTGTTACCCTTTCCTCCCTGTCAAAGCTATCTTTGTCTACAACTGTACCTCATGGTTTGTCACTAATAAAAATTTTTTAAAAGCTATCATCACCAAATTGGCCGTTTCTGACTAGATGTTTACAATTAAGGGCCATACTCATTTAATTGCTCTGGGTTTTGTCCAGTTCAGAGTCAGGAGCTGGACATGCTTGCATATTCTCTTTCCTTAGAACTCTTAGTGTGTATTCAGAATTTGTTCTGATGGTTCCTTAACAGATGTCCTTAAACTTTGTTCTGGGTCTCTGAGGAATGTCACGGAGTTTTAATGACCACAGAGAACATCTGTAGAATGTTTTGGGTAGTATCTTAGTACCTAAAGGGGAGAATTGAGCTGCACAGTTAATAGGGATTCTCTATCCTGGTGTCCTCTGAAGGGAAAGTGTTTCCCTTAAGCCCCTTACCCTATTTTGCTCGCCCTCCACTCCATCTTCTCTGGTGAGAGGATGTCTGTTTTCGGTCCATGTTAAATTTGTTAAGGTTTGATAAAGTAAAGACCAGAACAGTATTCTGGAGATTCCTAAGAGATTGTTTTCCAGAAAGTGGTAAAAATATACTGAGGAAAAATAGGACTTCTGCTGTATACCACGCTCTGGTGGTGTGCCTATGGTGTGTACTAATCTCTGGCACTGGGAAGAACTGCAGCATATTTCACGAGATATCTTAGGAAATCATGAAGATAAGTATTAAAACAAGGCTTCTTTGAAGCAAAAGTTCAGTGGATAGATTGTTTGCCTTGCACATAGCCGCCCTGGGTTGAACCCCAGGTGAACTTTCAGGCTGTATGGTTACCTGGTTCATGGAGCTGGTAAGCAAAGTAGACTATTGACGGGTGGTTAAAAGACACAGACTAATATCTGGTGGTCAGTATACAACTTTATTCATGGTAAGCAGAGATTATATAGGGGCAGAAGGAAATCAGTACATGCAGGATGAGAGCATGTGGTAAGAGGGACACAAAAAGGGGAAGTTGATGGTTTCACGATCTACATGCAGTTACAGGAAATGCGTGCTATATGGGCTCTCTAAGCTCTCCTAGCAAAAATAGAGGTGTCTTATCGCTTCAATACAGTGACAGTACCCCATTTTTCAAGCCCAGACACTGCAAAACCGTCAATATGTACTCATCTTGGCAATATCAGGTCCTACGACATGAGTCATTATCTGGACCAGCGTATTGAGACCATTGCCTCAGAACGCAGAGCATTCTCACAGGCTATCCAATCCAGATGTCTTGGTAGCTGAGCCAAAAAGAACCTCAAAATCTCCTACTTTTGGATTTTATTTTTCATCGAAGTAGGCTAAAATGGGCTTATAAACAGGAGTCCTCTGAGTAGACTATTCATCACTACAGGAGGCAGAATCCTAAAAATAACATGACAGATCAAACTATTACACCACTCCAGCCCTGTCCGTAGTATGAGTTATGTTTTACCACAAGGCTTTTGGATTGAGGCCTTGGAAGGCATCAGTTACCTGTTTATCCAGGCCCTTGAATCACACTCTTGGCTGTTTTTTTCCCCTGGACAATTCTTAAGTGTTTTTTTATGGAGGGTCTGGGTGTCGAAGTTCCCTTTAAGATCTTGCAAATGCTATTTGATGTTCTCGCAGATTGGGAGCAAGGCGCTACTGGGGTTCTGTTTGGGAGTTCCCCGAGCTGGCCCCACATCTTTCACGTGACCCTGATGTCTCAGGCATGCTTGGGTGTCCGAAGGATGTTTGGTGGCTGGTTTTACTCTCTTGAGATCTATTTATGAGACTTTTTCAAGGGTTCATAAAGTAGAGTACTGTAATTCGATGAGCTTACATGTGGCAGAGGTGGATCATAGGCCTGATTACCAGGATTTCTGGAAATACAGTAAGGAGAGTGCAGGTAGCCCATACTGACTCTAAGAAAGCCTTGGGATTCCAATCACAAAGACACATATACCTGAATATTCAGCAGGTTAATTTGCAGGAGAGGCTTGGTACCAAGGCAATGAGGTCCTGCCAATGGCATGGTGACGGTTTTGCAGGATTTTGGCTGTCCCTAGGCTGACCCCCATCCCTCCGAGATTTATATTGTGTACAGTCATTGGATTTTTTGCTTTGTGAATCCTTTTCATGTTCAGTGAAATTTTATTTCACATTGAATCTTTATGTACATTCCATATTCAGAGGCTTTATCTCCTTTGTCAGATTTCTTCATGTTCAGTGAAGTTTAATTTCACAGAAACTCTACTCCTATATTCTTTCATTTTTCTTTTCTGGGTCACACCCGGCAATGCACAGGGGTTACTCCTGACTCTGTACTTAGGAATCGACCCTAGCGGTGCTCAGGGGACCATATTGAGATACTGGGAATCGAACCCGGGTCGGCTGCATGCAAGGCAAACGCCCTACCTGCTGTAGTATCATTGCAGACTGGAAGGTCTGATTTCCAGTAAAAAGTTTTCATCCATTCTTTACATTTATAAGGTTTATTTCTTGTATATTTCCTCCACTGCTTCCACTACCCAGCCACTGCCACATTCGAGGATGCTTTCCGGACTCGCGTGGCCGCTTTGTCATTGTAAGACACTAAATACCCATCTTCCAGAATTGCTGTACCATATTTGATAGGGTTAAAATATGATAACACCTACAAGGGTGATTAGAGGTCTCCCCAAAAGTCTCTATCCCTCTCGGAAAGCCTGGCAAGCTACCAAGAGTATTCCGCCCACACGGCAGAGCCCCAAAAGCTATCCATTGTGTATTCGATATGCCAAAACCAATAACTACAATGGGTCTCATTCCCCTGACCTTGAAGGCGTCACCAATATTGCAGCATTGAGAAGGATGAGAAAGGAGAGGCCGATAAAATCTGAAGGCCGAACTAAGCTGCCACAACGAAGGAAGACAAAAATGACTGTCTGTACTTTCAATGCACGTACGCTATCATCAGATGCATCCATCAAGGGCCTGATGGTACAAGCGCGAAATATCAAGTACGACATCAGTGGTCTGACTGAGACAAGAAGGCACCAATCTCATCACTCCGTTTTTGACACCGGAGAAGAATTGTAACTCGGAACCTGCAATAAAAGAGGTGTCGGAGGCGTCGGTATCCTTGTCAACACAAACTTGGCCATGAGCATTGATTCATTCGAATGCCTAACAACCCGAATCGGACTTTTACATTTGAATATATGTGGCTCACTGCCGGTAGTTTCTATCTTCGTTGTCTACACACCAACATCCAATTATGATGAAGGAGAAATTGAGAAGTTCTACATGGAGCTGGAGAAGTTCTATAAAGAAGACCACACCTTCTACAAGATCATTGTGGGTGATTTTAATGCCAAGTTAGGACCGAGAAGATCAGCCAAAGAACTTCACATCGGGACCCATGGCCTAGAATGGAACAAATGGGGTGAGAGGCTGTCTGAGTTCATCATGTCGACCAAGACCATACATGGTAACTCAAGATTCCAAAAGGCCGAATCTAAACGTTGGACATGAGAGTCTCCCAGTGGACAATTTCACAACGAAATAGACCACATCATATTCAATCGATGGTTTTGCCTGCAGATGTCGCTGTTGTCCCAAAATTCCAAATGGGATCGGACCATCATCTCCTTCATGCAAAATTCTACTTCTCAGAGTGGGGAGAAAGGGCTGCAAAGTTTAAAAAGAGAACTCCCAGAACGACCACCAACTGGAGCTCTTTGGCACTATTGCGGCAACATGGGAAGATGCCATTATTGACAACATTGACGAGGAAAACGATCGACTGATTCAGCACCTCCATGATTGTGGGAGGAACGCAAAGAGAGAGAGACACACAAAAATATGCCTGTCTTTGAAAACTCTTGAGCTTATTCGCCAACGTGGTTTGGCGCATCCCTCAGGCAACCGCAAGTGAACGTCTGAGCTCGCAAAGCAGTGCAGAGATGCGATCAAGGAAGACCTCAAAGAGAGAAGAGCAGAAGTGCTGGTAGATGCGGCAGAAGCCAGAAAAAGTATTCGTAACGCCCGCCTGTCCTTTGCCAACTACAAGACCAAGATGACTGCCGTCCGAAGTCCTGATGGATCTGTCACATCTTCCAGAAGAGCAATGGAGAAGATTATCCATGAGTTTTACTCAGATCTCTTCTATAGCCATGTCCACTTGCCAACATACCAAATCCCACAGGATGAATATGTCGTTCCCAATCCCTTCCTAAATCTGACACGCCATTTCGTCAGTAAAGATACGAACAGCACCCGGCCCAGACAAGGTCAGACGTGAACACCAGAAGAACCTGCCGTCAGTACTCATCAATACGCTGGCTCAGCTCTTCACACGCTACCTGTCTGAATGCAAGGTTCCATCCCAATGGAAAACCAGCAGGACTGTACTACTGAACAAGAAAAGAGACATCCATGACATTGGCAAATATCGCCCGATCTGCCTAATGTCTGTCATCTACAAGTTGTTCACTCGAGTCATCTTGAATACGATTAGCAGAATACTAGATGAAGGACAACCATGCGAGCAAGCCGGGTTCCATAAAGGATTCAGCACCATCGACCATACCCACATGATAACCAAGCTCATTGAGGTTTCTCGGGAGTTCAAGATGCCACTCTGTCTAACGTTCATTCATTTAAAGAAGACCTTTGATTCTGTTGAGACGGAAGCGGTCATTGAAGCCCCAGCCAATCTGGGCATTCAAACTAAATACATCAAGATCCTCTGTGAACTGTATTACGGATTCACTATCAGGATCTCACTATTCTGCAAAGAAGTAATCATTGATATCAAGAGAGGTTTTCGGCAGGGTGATACCATTTCACCGAAACTCTTCAGTGCCACCCTCGAGAACA